GCGTATTTTTTGTTCCAAAGCAATCGCTCGTATTTTCTCATTACTACTGCGGAGTGATCTCCACAAATTTATTTGTGAACTACCGACACATTTGGTACCTTTCGGGGTCAACGAAACTGCTGGATGTAATTTATACTGATGATCCAACGTTCCAGCCACTTCGTTATTCTCAGAGCATCGCTCCACTCATTCAGTTTTACACTTAACCTCTGAACAACACCTATCCGAAACTTCAAGCCCTTTAAGATAACTTAAGATAACACTTAGGATAGCCACTCCTAAACTTCGCGACGATGCTCTCCCGCTGCAGTTGCACTCTAATGCTGTATAGGGGAGAGCAGCTCTAAAAAAAGTATCAACTATGGCCGGCAAATAGTGTTATGAAAGCATAACAGGAGGGTAAGCGTCGCACAATCACACGCTAGATGTCGACTGAACTGACTCCTAGAACTTCGGAAGAGTTTAGAAACACAGGAGAGTACCAGATTCTTGGAAAAATTTTGATCTGTCATCGCGTGCGGCCGCCATCACCCTGCCTCCCATGCCATCAAAGAAATGTAATGGCTGCAACAGTTGCAAGAATGCTGTTATCCCCCCTGGCTGGAATCTATACTTAAGCGATGGGATGATTGGCTGGAATCTATACTCAAGCGATGGGATGATTACTTCACCAGGTTCGATCGTATATTTGATTTATTAGTTTCTATGCATCAGTCTCACAGGGCAATTGTGAGGAAAATTGATGCCATTGAAAACCGCTTATTCGATCAAATGAGTGCAGAGCATGCGATTAGTGAGCTTTAACCGCTTTAGTTAAACTTCATTCCGATTCCAAATACATCGCCAGTAAGCAGTGTAATATTGCCTGGATCGGTATCGAGGAACAAGGTGATGAGAGGGATACATCTGATTTCGACGGAGAAGCGCTCAATGAGCTCATCGACGCCTCTTGTGATAGCGAGCTGCTGAGCCAGTGGAAGGCAGGTAAGATCAAAATTGCGCGGTTCCCACCCAATCGTAGTGCCGCCATGAGGAAACCGAGAATAATCAAGATCCATCTGCCCTCGCAAGTGCTCAGGGACCGTCTCCTGGCTTTTATGAAAAAAGGGTGTCTCTCACTTACGCAAACATTTCATCATTCTTATGCGAAACGACCTATACCAAAGAAGAATTGGATTACGACAGACAGCTTAGAAAGAGAGCAGGGCAGCACAATGCGGATGAGGGTGAACTTCTTTATGTTGTAAGAGATCTTGCAATACATAAGCACAAGACTCCTCGTGACCCGTCGCGCCCCATGAGTCGTTCCAGTTCCACAGAGGAAGCCCCAGCTCCCTCTAATGATTCTGCTCCAGTCACTCCTTCATCACCTATAGCTTATCGATCACCTATGACGTCACCCTTGTTCCCTTCGCGAGATGATGCTTGGCGGGAACCAATCAAAGGTCCTAGTGTGGTGTCGATCGATAATGCTACCCGGGTAGGTGCCTTACATGAACCGACCAATCAGCCAGGAAAAGTCGGTCAAGGGTTCAAATGGTGATTCGCCTCGCGCCTTCTCATAATTTTTGCTTTGCTAATTCATCTTTGTTCAATAGATTTATACTTTTTAATGCCCGTTCCATAGTTAAAAAAATCTCTGAGCTTGATTTGTTATTGATGCAGAATCCTTATGGTGTTTCTATTACGGAGAGCTGGTGCAAACCCCATATGATTAGCGACGCCACCTTAAGTTGTCAAGGTAGGTACTGTTCCGCTGTGACAGGGATGGCGACAGACCAGGAGGAGATGTTATTGTGGCTCTGCGGAAGGGGATCCCTCACCGCATGTATGCATCCAAAAACTTCTCTGAGTACTGTCAGGCTATCATTATGGAGGTCACTACATATTAGTTGTCAAGTTGTTATGATCGCTACGATTTACAGGAGCCCTTCCTGTAGGTTTGACGCTTTTTCGGAGTTGATTGCATTTCTTTCCGACCTAATACTCGACTGCCCCAGCAAAATCATTATTGTGGGCGACTTAAATTTCCCATTGATTGGCTGGACCTCGCTTAGTCATCGGGGCAATCTGAGTTCCCCCTCCTCTACTGCCATTATTGACCTTTGCGCATCTTTCAACCTCAAGCAATTGGTCATGGAACCCAGCCTTGGGCTAAATATACTCGATATTGTGTTGACTTCGGATCCCGAAATGGTTAGATGTGTTGAAGTCATGCCGCCCTTCAGCACATCGGACCACCGCAGTGTTAGCGTACTTTTGTCTCAACTGGTTCTTGTCAGCTTCCGAAGAATACCTTCCGCCCTAACTTTGCTGGAGGGGATTTTGTCAGCATTAACAGGGACTTCTTGGGGAATGACTGGGTGCCATTAATTGCGGCAGGTTCTCCAAATGACGCATACTCCTTGTTTGTTTCCATCTGTCACTCGCTCATTTCACAGTACGTGCCGTGCTCCACGGCTAAAGCTTTACCCGTATACATACCCAAGAAAATACTTCGCTTGAGGGCTAAAGTAAACCACATTCACGCCAATGCGAATCGTTACGGTTTTCGTCAATATGCTGAATACGCTCAGAAGCTTAAATGTATGGTCACTCGTTTAGCTATTATTGAAGAAGAAAAACTCGCCAAGCAGAGGAACCTTCGTCGTTGTTTCAGATACTGCTATAGTAAACTCAACTTGTCCGATGAAATCCCCGAACTGCTCTCGACGGAATTAGTTTACAGGTTGTTGTCAAAGCTCCCGAGCAGATACTCCACATCTCCCGATAATATTCCTTACGTGTTTCTCAAACGTGCTGCTTTGGGCCTGGCTAAGCCACTCACTCTCCTCTTTAGTTAGTTTTTGTTGTTAGGTAATTGTCCTGATATTTGGAAAACAGCGTTGGTTAAACCGGTCCACAAAAAGGTTCCCGCAACATGGTGCACAATTATCGACCCATCTGTCTGACTTCTTGTATCTGTAAAGTTATGGAAAGAATAATTTGTTCTAGTATTCTTACCTTTCTATTAGAAAATAACATCCTTGACTCTGCGCAGCACTGGTTCCTCAGCAAACGTTCTACGACAACTGCCCTGCTTTCAACCTTCCCCGGGCATGGGGAGTTGGACCGAGGGTGTTATGTGTCCGTCTGCTTTGTTGATTTCAAGAAAGCATTTGATTCCATCCCTATCTCGCTGCTTCTCAATAAGTCGGAAGGCGTGGGCATAACCGGCTGCCTCCTCCGTTTTATTAGTTTTTCCTTGAGCAATAGAACGCAGTCGGCAGTCATAAATGAAGAGCGTTCCTATTTATTCCCCACCACCGGCGGAGTTCCGCAGGTAGCTGCATCGGGCCTCTAATGTTTCTAATATATGTTAACGATCTCCCCTCGGCTTTCCCTTCTGGCGTTCACATTTCCTAGTATGCCGATGATTCTAAAATTTTCACCATAAACAACGCTGGTCTAGTGCAAGATGGAATCGATGCCTTGGCCAGTTGGGAACATGGGATCTTTGAGGAAGACAACGGTAATGTGCTTAAGGATAAACCACCCTGACGTCGTTTTCAGTTTGAACGGTTCCCCTTTCAGACATTGCGACTATGTTCGCGATCTTGGGGTCAGTTATGATCCAAATCTAGATTTTGAGCGCTTTATAACTGAAATTGTTGCCAAAGCAACCGTCAGATCAAACTACATCTTACGAGCCTTCCACTCACGTAACCCTGTGTTGCTCTTCAGATTGTTCACAATTTACGTAAAGCCCATGCTTGAATATTGTTCTCAACTGTGGTCACCATATAAAACATGTCTAATTGATAGAGTGGAACAAGTACAGAAAAGGTTCACCTATAGGATTTTTGCCAGAAGAGGCACGCGTAGGATCTCGTATGAGAAAAGGCTTGCTCCTCTTGACGCGTTGTCTCTGGAGAACAGGAGAAAGATTGCTGACTTTGGGTTTTTTGTACAAGATAATCTTTAATGAAGTGGACTTGTCCGTCGAAGATCTATTCCGTGTTTCTCCATTCAATAATATTACTAGGGGCCGCCCGACCGACTACGTTTAGTTGGCTCTAGCACAGCATCTCTCAGCGATTCGTTTTCTTATCGTATAATTGTTCCCTGGAACAACCTCAGCAGTGACCTATTCAAATTCAGGAAAGCCAGTCGCTCAAAATGGCGTTGGCGAAAATGTGGCAAAATCAAAACCGAAAGTATGGTGGTGTTGGTCAGCCGAATAAACCTCTTGTTTGATACCCATTCATTCGCCGATTTGTCACCAAGATCCACTGGTCTTTTGTTTGTCCGCCATTTTTTGTGGATTTTCGCAATGAACAGAAGTCTAAATGAATCGAATATTTTTATTATTTTTGTCGTGGTGCATTATGGTGCCCTTTCATGGTTTGGTCTTCAATTTTGGCTATTTTTTTGCGTTCCCTGAGTTAGTGGGTCGATCGCACGCTAATTACTGTTGCATGGCCTCGTGGATCCTCATTTCTTCCTCTAACCAAGTGACCTCGCCTCTCGTTCCTTATTATGCTACCTTTATCGGATAGTGATCCTGAAGCTGGGTTGTTAGGGGTAGGGAATACCTGACATCCGAAAACCCAGCTTCAGGTATACAGGCGTGCCCTAGTGCCCCTGTATGTGATGTTATCCCTAGCACCATCCACTTGTTTTTGATTTTCCGTTACCATTCTCCTCATGTATCGAGGGCCAGGTTCCACTTCTTGTCTCACCACTAGATCGCGACCATAGCAGCGGTTTTTTTTCGTGTGCCTTAGCTACGTTAGGGTCGTTAAGTGTTGTCCTCATACGGATTGGTTAATTAGGTCCTAATCTATCTATGTGTTGAGGAATGATGGTAGTTGTTTACTCTAAGTGATAGTAGTACTGAACGACACCAGATCATTCCTGTATAAGACTGTTGCTCGAGTATGGTTCACTTTTCGTTCGGCTTCGCTTGGACCTAATAAACGACTACGCTGCTCGCGGTGTGATACACAACATTGTCGACCATGACTACCAGGACTCACCCATACCAAGATCAGCCTATACCAAGACTACCAGGAACAAGATCTATCAGCCGAGGATGTCAAGATGCCGAAGTCCTCCGAGACGGAAATCCTGAACCAGCCACACTTGAGGTACTACTTCAGTCTATAATACAACAACATCAATTCCAGCATGAAGAGATGAAAGTGCTGTTCAACTCCCTTGCGCCGAACAGGAATAATGGGAAAGACTGTCAGGATGGTCAGTCTCCTTCTTCCTCTCCCTAGCGTTAGTCCCGCGCCGTCGCAGGGTGATCTATTACACGTCGCCACTTGTTCCGATCCACTGCATCTTCTGCTGTGGCTTTCACTTCAGTGAGGTCCCTCTTGATGACGTCCCTCCATCTTTTCTTTGGGGCTCCTCGTGGTTGCTTGCCCTCTACCTCGAGTTCCAATGCCTTCCTTACTGGGTGGTCTTCGGGCCTCCTCAGTACATGACCGTACCATCGCAGTCGCTGCTCTCGTGCCTTCAGCTGCATAGGAGCCGTCTGTGTGACTGCTCTGACGTCCTCGTTGCGTTGATCTCCACCGCCTGGTCCACGCTGCCATCTGCTTCTAGGTTGCTCCCCAGGTACTGGAAATCCTCGACCCTTTCGATGTTCTCTGGTCTACGATGGGTTCGGCGCACTCTTCGGAGCTTAGGAACTTGGTTCTTTACGTTTAGCCGGCGTCCATTCGCAGCGAGCACATCCTGCCACCGCTGCACCTTGTCTTGAAGTTCCTCCCTGCTGTCCGCTACCAGGGCGATGTCTTCAGCGTAGAGGATGGTTTTCAGTGGTCCCTCCAGGAGTTCTTTTGCCATGACATCTAGACAGGAGGAAGAGGAACGGGCTGAGGGCTGACCCTTACTGTACCCCAACCGTAATGCTCAAGCCGTGAGGGGTGCGTACGGCTGCTTTAGCCCCATCGTACATGTCCTTCACTATGGAGATAAGGTGTTCCGGAACGTTACGTTCTCTGAGCGCGCTCCAGAGTACAGGCCTTGGCAGGCGGTCGAATGCCTTCTCAAGGTCCAGGAAGGCTAGGTAGCAGGGTCGCCGCTTCTCTCGGTACTTCCCCATCAGCTGTCTGGCGATGAAGATGGCATCGGTGCTGGACCTCGGGCATGAAGCCGAACTGTTCCTGCGAGAAAGGGACAAGTTCCCACAGCCTAGTGTTGACCAGGCGCTTGTACAGCTTCATGGTATGGGGAGTCAGCTTGATCCTGCGGTAGTTGGAGCACTCCGTCGCGTCCTCTTTCTGTTTGAAGATGGGAACGATTGTGCTGTTTCTCTACGCATTCGGCATCCTTCCTTCAGCTGTTACGTTGTTTAGGAAGTGCGTAACCAACTCACCCCATGCTCTCCAAGGGCCTTCCATGCCTCTATCGGTACCCCGTCTGGACCCACTGCTTTCCCAGCTTTCATTCTTCATTTCTCGGCGAACTTCATCCTTCGTCCAGGGAGTGATGGGACCTGCCGTCGCCTCTATGGCTATCCTTGCGAGGGAATTCTTCGTTCAGAAGTCCCTCGAAAAATTCTTCCCAGCTCTTCCTGACTTCGGCTGGTTTCCTGATGGCCCCGTTGCTGCTCTTCACAGTCTTTACGACCCTGATGTCCTGAGCTGCGCGATGCCGAGCTTTAGCCAGGCGGAGGACGAACTTGTCCCCTTCTCGGCCTTCCAGCTTGTCGTGCAGGGCGTCCTTTCGGTATTCTTGGCCTTAGCAACGGCCGCCTTGCGAGTCGCTTGCAGCCCTTGTAGGCAGCGTAGTCTTCTGGGCTCCCTGTCTTTTGCCAGCGTTTGTATGGTTCCTTCTCCTGCTTGACGATCCTCTGGACTTCCTCGTTCCAGAACCAGGCTGCCTTGTCTCCTCTGATACCCCTCGCGTCTCTCCCAGCACCTCCCTTGCACACTGTAGGATGACCTCTGCTGCGCAGGTCCAGGTGTCGTGGACTGGCCCATGTGGGTCTGGGAGCCCAGCCTCCAGTATTCTTCGGCCGAGGCTATCCTTTTCTACCCCGCCCATTTTCCACCACCGAATTCTCCTTCGTCTTCTTGGGGAGGACTATGGCGATGTCTGCCAGGAGAGGCCTGTGCTGAGGGTCCAGCTCTTCCCCAGGCAGTACTTGAAGACAATTCCCGCGATCAAGTGTTCGGGTAATTGGTGCTCAGTCACGAAGCAGTGGCCCATTTGTAATCCCCCAGTGGAAAAAAAATCGGAAAAAAAAATCTCGCGAACACGCTGAACACAGACCTCCGTTTAGCAGTGGGGGGCGGGACCTGGACGAGTGTGCCGGACGTGGCCGCCAGAAATCGATGCGGCAGCCGCAATTGCGTCGCGACTTTCGAAATAGGATACTTTAAAGGGACGGAAGCAGCTCGCGACCGGACGCCTCGTCCACCTACCGTGTCAGCGAGCCTAGCGAGCCTTGTGGAAATCGCTATAACTTCCTTATCGCGCCATATTGAGGGATGAAAGAGGTATCATCGTCGTCAAGGCGTAGAGGGTTCGAAAAAGCACGAAGTCTTTTTGAGGACCACTTGATCGCGGGGAGTGTCTTTGATAACCTTGACGGTTTTGAGAGACGATCTTCTGATTAAAACATGGTCGATTTCCGTTTGTCTCCCTCCACTGCTGTAGGCTACCTTTTGGGTCCTCCTTTTCGCGAAGAAGGTGCTGCAGATTGCTAAGTCGTGGGCTGTTGCTAGGTCAAGGATTCGTCCTCCCTCAGCGTTCTTTGTCCCTATTCCTTGTCCTCCGTGCACCCTTTCTAGACCCCTTCTGTCCTTCCCAACATGACCATTCAGATCTCCAGCTATGGTGAGATAGTCCTCTTCCGGAACCGATCTTATGGCCTCGTCCAGGGTCAGGTAGAACTCATCCTTTTCGGTTTCAGAGCAACCGGATTGTGGTGCGTACACGGTCAGTACTGTCCAGTACCCCTCCTTCGTGTCCATTCTCACTCCCATGATCCGGTCACTGATCCTGTTCACAGTGGAGACGCAGTCCTTGAGGGATTCTGCCACCGCTATGGCAACGCCATTCCGTTTGGTGTCTGCTCCATTGTAGAAGAGTTTAACACCTTCTCCGATCTCGCGGGCCTCCCATCGCGTTTCCTGCAGGCATAGGACTTGGACATTACTGCGTCTCATGAGGTCGGCAACCTCACGAGACTTCCCGGTAAGCGACCCCACGTTCAGGGTCCCAATTCGAACTAGCTTCTTTGGCCGAGGTCGTTCATCTCTCGGTGGCCCTCGCACACTGACCACAGAACTCGGGCGAGGGTTCTGCGCGCCACTTCCACGTGACGTCCTAGCTTTTACACTGATTCTATTGCGACTTGTCATGATTGTTGTAACGGGTTCCTCTATCAACCGGCCTGTCAACCTGGGCCTGACGCTGGTATCGTCCCCATTTTTGCAATTTTTGCAAGGCAGGTTTGTGCCTCGGCAGGGATCGAACTCGTGGCGTGAGATTATGAGTCTACACTCTTAACCATTCGCCTATCCCTGCCTCGTCAGGATGGCCAGTATGACCAGTTGAATAAGGAAGTTCAGAAGTTCGAACCAGATGAAGAAACCGGACACACTTTCGACTACTGGTATAGAAGGTACGGCCCAATGATTCGAGAGTCGAGTGTGCCATATAGCAAGAAAATAGATCTTATTCTGTTGAAACCGGAGGATAGCGCATATCGCAGGTATGCAGATGATATTCTACCGCTGCAACCACACGAGATTGACTTCGATTTCACAGCAGCGAAGCTACAGAAGTTATTCGCATCCGAGAAAACGTACGTTAATTCGACGACGATATGAGTGTCTGAAGATAACCTGCCCAGCATTGACTCCAGACAACATACCGTTTCGAGAGTACGCTGATATGATCAAGCGGATGGACGAAGAAGCTTGCTTAAAAAATGGATTACACGGAGCTGAAGACTTTGCAGTTCGTCGCAAGTCTTCAGGACCCTTCACTCCATGAAGTACGTCTTTGAATGCTGTGCAGGCTCGATACGCAAGCGGAAGACGCGCCGTTGACAATCGAAGATCTCGTTGCTGAATGTGAAAATTTCACAATTTGAAGATGGATAACGCCAATATGGGAACAAGCCATGACATCCATGCTGTTCAGAAAAACAAGGTTGAATGCTTCGGATGTGAAGGACCACATTTCAAGAGCGTTTGTCCACTTCTCAAACAGGTCTCTAAGAAACCAAAAAGGCAGCATCACCGTCGTAAAAGGAAGCAATGCCGGAATGTCGCAACTTTTGCTCCTGGGAAAGCAAGAACATACGTCGATATCAATGTCAGAGGACATCCTCTACGTTTCCAACTCGACACTGGAGCATATATCACGCTGATATCTCGTCGAACATGGAGAAAGCTCGGATCCCCACCCTTGGAATCCTATAATATGGCAGTCACAACGGCAGACGGATCACCGATGAAGATTGATGGAAGACTCTCCACAGACTTCTCCGTGATAGACCGCACTACGGGAACGAAGTTTCAAGGAAATGGCTATTGCGAAGTCACCGGAAATACAGATTTACTTGGTTTTAAATGGTGTGTTCAACTTCCCGCGTACAAGAAGTTGCAAAGCAAATACCACTGCCACATGGTGAGCGAAGCGGAAACTGCCCGAGCACAGTTAGTTGCAGACCTGAAGAAGCGATACGCAGAAGTTTTCAGCTGCGAGCTTGGTCGATGCAAGAAAAGGAAAGCGAAGTTGTTCTTGAAGGAAAACACAATACCTGTTTTCAAAAAGAAGCGACCAGTCTCTTATGCCTCCGGGCCAGAATTAGATGCAGAGATTGATCGTTTAGTCTCTACTGGTGTGATTTCACCAGCTGATCATTCGGAATGGGCCGCTCCCGTCGTTGCAGTCAAGAAGAAGAATGGACAGATTCGTTTATGTGCCGACTTCTCAACAGATTGAACGATGTCTTGCTACTGCATCAGCATCCGTTACCTACTACAGAAGAAGTCACACGGCTGAACGGAGGACAGATTTTCACACAAATCGACTTCGCGGACGCGTATCTGCAGATAGAAGTCGAAGAAGAATCGAAGGCGATGTTGACGACAAACACTTACAAGGGACAATACCGTTACAATCGTCTACCCTTCGGAGTCAAAGCAGCACCTGGCATTTTTCAACAGATTACGGATTCGATGATCTGTGGACTGAGAGGCGTTGCTACATATTTGGACGATGTCATTGTCACAGGTCGCACATATGAAGAGCACCTCCAAAACTTGGAAGCGCTTTTTGATAGAATATCTGTATGGCTTCCACGTTTGAAGAAATGCAATTTCCTCATGCCGAGGATTCGCTACCTTGGATTTATCATCGATAAGGATGGAAGACGTCCTGATCCAGAGAAAGTTGAGGTCATCCGTTAGATGCCAGCCCCGAAGAACGTCGCAGAAGTACGTTCGTTCCTGGGAATGATCAGTTATTACGGATCATTTGTGGCAGAAATGCGCCAAATACGCGCCCCATTTGACGAATCATTGAAGAAGAATAGCTATTTCCACTGGACGAACAAATATGAGAAAGCTTTCCAACTTGCCAAAGACGTGCTCGCTGCGGATTTGCTTTTGAAATATTTTGATTCCAGCTTGGAAATAATAGTCGCTGCTGACGCACCGGACTATGGAATTGGAGCCCTTATTCTTCACAGATGCCAGATGGTACAGAGAGGGCAATATTCCACGCTAGTAGAAGCCTCGCTGCTGCAGAAAGAAACTATGGCCAGATTGAAAAGAAGGGACTTGCCTTGATATTCGCTGCCCGAAAATTCCATCGATACATATACGGACGTCGATTCAAGTTGTTGACAGATCACAAGCTGTTGCTATATATTTTTGGACCAAGAAAAATGGTACAAACCTACACAGCAAACCGACTTCAAAGATGGAAGCTTATACTGCTGGGATATGACTTCACCCTCGAGTATCGAAGCACAACTGAATTTGGACAAGCAGATGCATTATCTAGACTCATTCCCCCACGGCCAGATCAAAGTGAAGATGTTGTGATTCCCAAAATTGAGCAAGACATTCTCACTATGTATGAAGCCACCTTAAACGCGCTACCCGTGACCAGAAATTCGATTACTGAACGAACATCAATCGAGAAATCGAAAAAGTGCGCCACTGCCGCCACTGTCAAGAAACAGCAAAAATGCCAAGGACAGCCATTAGCTCATGGCCAGACGAGAAGAAACCCTGGGAACAAATTCATGTTGACTACGCCGGAACTGTCAATGGAAAAATGTATCTCATAGTGATCGACTCATATTCAAAGTGGCCAGAAGTCTTCGAAATGTCATCGTCGGCAACGAACGCAACCCCAAGAGAACTCAGAACGTTGTTCGCCCGTTTCGAAAATCCGAGAATAACCGTGTCAGACAACCGCACGCAGTTTACGTCCAGAGAGTTCCAAGATTTTTGCGCCAGGCAAGGCATTCAACACGTCCGTTCACCGCCCTTCCCCGCAATCAAATGGCCAAGCAGAGCGTTTTGTTGACACCTTGAAGAGAGCTCTACTCAAATCGAAAGAGAGAGGAAAGTTGGAGACACTGAGTTTCTGAAGTGTTATCGGAGAGCACCGAGTACCTCGACTTCCGGACAAGTTTCACCAGCAGAGTTATTCCTTGGACATCAAATTAGGACAAATCTCACGCTGCTGAACGAAACTTGAGGTCGAGACACAATCACACAGTTTGAAGACAGGGATGCAGTTCAAACCCCATCACAGAACGCCAGAAAAGTCGTTTCGGATGGAAGAAACTGTATGGACAAGAGACTTTCGCCCTTGACAGAAGAAATGGATACCAGCTCGCGTGAAGAACCGTCATGGTCAAGTCATGTATGACGTACTGACGGAAGATGGTCAGTTTTGGAGAGGACAAGTTGACCAAATTCGACCAAGATCAAAAGGAGTCACTACCAGTAGAGCAGAAATACCTGATGAGTCCATGAAGAGAATCCACGGAAAAAGCTGAAAGAAGCTAAGCACAACCAACAAAAGAAGACCTCGACCGATTCAAAAGAAGACATGTTGAATCAAGATGCACTCGCGGTACCACCGACAGATACGAACAAAGCGAAACGACACCGACAGCCACCCAGCCGTCTTCAAGTGAATCCAAGAATGAAGACATATATGATACGTATTTCATAGTGGAGAGGTGTTGAGGAATGATGGTAGCTGTTTACTCTAACAAGGGAGGCCGTTCAGGGCGTGGTGAGCTTTTTCAAAATGGTCTTGTGTATATTGTAGGGGCACATACGAGGACCTCAAAACTGAGATTCATTTTCGTTGCGCGCTTCTGCGAATAAAAAAACGTAAAAAATAGGTCGATGGTTCGGATCCCACTGAGGACAAACTTTTGCTTTTCTACAGTTTTTCATTTTTGGATCCATGTTTGCCTAAATAATTGATCGTAACAAAAACATTCACGATAAACTGAACAATCCTACTTTTATGGAGAAAAACTGCTTTTTCGTTCGAATTACGAACAGACGCAGCTCTTGGGCGCTATGCCAGTACCGGATGGCACTGGAACCGAAAGTGAAGTCTAGAATCGTGATCAGGACTGTCGATTACCCCTAGGAGCAAGTTTTGAGCGAAAAATTTTTTTCACTTTTTCGGGTTGTAGGTGACCGACTTTCGGCACTGTGAGCGGAGTCTCATCACATCTTCGTAATAGCGTGCGTTGATGCTACGGACGCCGGACAACCCAATAAGCAAACCCAAGAAGGTCAAAACAATTGTTTTGACCGAAAATTCGTTTTTAGTGGTAATCAGCGGCCTTGATCACGATATATAATCCCTATTCATGGCATCCACGTAATCTGGCGACAGAATAGCGGTGAACGTTCCCTATATTGGTATACATAACGAATTCAGTGGAAAGTAGATGTGGCCCCATATTGCCTATAATTGACACCACACCAGAAGTCACTGAATTCGCAATCAGATCCACTGTATAGCCTATGAGGATCAACGTCCAGCAACAATCTTGCTCAATGGTGCGTGAGAATCGAAATAGTTGAATAGCACTCACTCACGAGGAGCTACTCGGAATGTGCCCATAAATGGCAAATATCCGAGTTATATTCATGCGCAGACACTAATGGAAGCGCGAACAGCGAAACCTGAGAAATGCAAAAAGCCGCGACGCAAGGCGAGTCAAACCATCAACCCCACTCTCACCGTCCGATTCTGAAACCTCCACTCTATCCGCTAGGCCATCCGATGCTCGACTGTGCTAGCGCTCTTATCGTTGATGAAGCCATTGCAAGAGGCCGTTCACCCTTGAGCACGTGACCCAAGTTGGAAGCTCGCTTGCGGCGATTTTTCGTCTCGATTCAAATAGCCCCTTTATAAGGACCCCCCACTCAGCAACTGGTCAAAGTTGCAAGTGAGCTACGCCGTATAGAGGCCCAGAGCGAAGCAGATTCCAAATTTTCACTCGTTTTTCACCTTTCCTGGAAGGTCGCAGCGAAAATGAAGCACACTTTTCAGGCCCTTGCATGAGCCCCTACAATATGCAGAAAACCGTTTTCGAAAAGCGCACCACGCCCTGAACGACCTCCCTTGTAAGTGGTAGTAGTACTGAGCGACAGCAGATCATTCCTGTATGAAAGACTGTTGCTCGAGTATGGTTCACTTTTCGTTCGGCTTCGGGACCTAATAAACGACTACGCGGCTCGCGGTGTGATACACAACACTATGTTCTCCATTAGGTTATCAGTTTTATTCTTTATCTTTACTTTTTATGTTTTTAGCCTTTCCTAGATGTCACTTAAGATGTTTTTGTTGCTTTTCCCGGTGCCCGTTCTGTTGACTGACTGTCATACAATAAACAAACAATCCACAACCAACTCAGCTTCAACTCTTCATAAAAAAAGATAACATTTTTTCAAGAATCTACAATCACTTCGGGTCCGATTCTTCATAAAATTCCCCAAAAACCCACTTCGCGAGGAACAAGATGAGATAAGACCTGGAAGACGTCGATCAAAGGGGGAGCAAAAAGAAGAGGAGGATATAGGAAAAACCAAATACATGGGAATTTAGTGAAGGGGACTGTGATGTTAGACGTCCGACCGACTAGCTAGTTGTCCCGTGTGTATGCTGGTCATGAATAATCTACTGCTAAGCGCAGCGCTTCCTACGTGAGCATACCAACATTAGCAACAAAATCCAAAATATTGACGAAGGTTTGGAACCCGTTAGGCTGCGTTCATACTTTGTGTTAGCGTTTAGCGTTTTCGCCGGAAGCTCCGAGCTTTTGGCGGACAGTCGCTGAAACCCTACTGGACGCTAAAGACGCTAGATAGATATCCATACTTTTCTGGTCGCTCAAACGCTGCCACCGTACACGAGATCTATACCTATGCGTTTCTAGTCGCTCGAGACGCTCAAACTGCTGGCGCAAAGTTTGAACATGGCCTTTTAACTGAATGGCGACTACTATTGTACTAATGTCAGAGGACAAGTTTCAGCAAGTGAACAGATTTATTTCCTTTCCGTTAGCAATCAAAACCGATTTGACCATTACACTCCAGAGCCCACCCAGAGTGGGTACTCTCAATAAATCTCGGTAGTGTTCGGGTGCACGGTTATTGCTTCTTTAGCTATGTTTTAGGTTGGAAACAGCGTTCCGATTTGCCTGACGTTTCGGTGATTCACTTTTTTTTTCGGAGTCTCACCAGACCTACAAGCATAGCACAGGGATATTTCGAATGGATCATTTCAGACCATTCCACGCCATCGGCGGAAAACTCGCTGTAGGGTGATATTTGCTGACTTAAAAGTTCTAGAAAGGCTTCAAGGAAGTGAACACACAGAGTCAGACGTGCAGTTAAAGAACCGAACTGTAAAATTCCGAATAAAACGGATGCATAGTGATATTATCCTAAGACAGTGATAACCGCCAGCAACAAATGAATGTTCGGAAACTGTCTAGCCACCCGTAAGAGTAATACACAAAAACATAAATAAAAGAAAGTTCTCTGGAAAGTGTATAGAAAATGCCTTGATAACCAGACCACAAATTGCAGTAATAATGATGGTGAAGAAAAGACTCGAAGGACAAGCAGTTGTCGAGAAGCATAGTAATATCGACACAGAAAGGGCGGAGGGGGGAAACACATGTGTCGAACGTGAAGATCGCGAGAAATTCTTGGAGTCTGGGTGGGAACTCCCATGTGATTAGAGCGCGCTTTCCGGCTCGCAATCCTCGCGCTACGTCGCTTTTTCTGCACTCTTATAACCGATCCCCAAGTGAAAGTCGATTGCTCGGATTTTTCTTGTTTTGAGAGATCATGGAACCGCGTTGTACTTCGCTGAGTGATTCTTCAGCGCCTGTGATTTCCCCTTCCTGAATGTAGTCCCCCAGACTGCCACGGCAAACAATTCTTTGGTGTCACTTTGGTTTTATTGTTACCGATTCCACAATGTGCCTTCGCTACTAGCTTTACTTTGAGGGCACAGAAGACCGTTTAGGGCTCTATCCTCACTCCTTATGAAAGAAAAAGGTTGTAGTCATTCAGGTTGTGTTCATACTTTGCATGAGCGTTTCGAGTGTACGGCAGCGTTTTGAGCGACTGTGGAACTTTAAGCAGCGATCTAGCGCTTTCAGCGCTTTGAAATTTCCGGGGCAGTCGTTGAAAACGCTCAAATGCTAGACCAATGCGTATACTTGCTAGTAGCTCAAAATGCTGTCGTACACTGGAAAAGCTCAAAATACTGACGCTAAGTATGAATGCAGCTTTACCGAGATTGCAGAAGACCATCTTTGGTGTATTCCAATTCTTTGGCCATCAGCAATAAGTGCAGATGCAAAAATGCCGAGCCGCGGAATGTGCAGAACTGCCGAAAGAGGAGAACCGCGGAACTTGTAAAAGAGGAAAATATGTCCATCAATTTCGAAAACGCGGACTTTGCACAAATGCAGAAGTGCGGAATGTGCAGAAATGCCTGCAGAAATTCCGCTGGTGAGGCTAAGGTCGCATTCATACATGGCGACGTTCCAGAAATGAGGAAATTGCAGACAAGAAATGTATACGCATCGATCTGAGGACCGCATTTCTCCTGATTCCGCAGAATTTGCAGAAATGCCGAAATGACGGACAATGACCTGATAGGGATTGATCGCTTAGCCCCACCAGCGAAATTTTAGCATTTCGGCATTTCTGCACATTCCGCACTTCTGCATTTCTGCATATTCCGCGGTTTTTGAAATTGATAGACACATTTTCTTCTTCTGCAAGTTCCGCGGTTCTCCCAGTTCCGCATGTCTCAAAATTCCGCAGTTCTGCACATTCCGTGGTTCGGCATTATTTCTGCATCAGGCATTGTTCACAGTCGCCAGGCCCTGACGAAGCGGCGGTTGGGAGAAAAGCAAAAATAGTCATCGATCGGAGAATCGCCCAAGCGTCCAACCGCCCAGCCGCCGCGGTTGGGCGGTTGGGCGAAAAGCAGTAGATGTGTATCGATTTCGCTGGCGAAAAACGCCACCGCAATGGAGCAGCGTTTTGTCGAAGGCGAAAAACGTCGCGGTTCGGCGAAACGCCCGTCGATACGTACCAAAACCCTTTCGCCCAAACGCCAGGCTCTTCGCCCAACCGCCAGTCGATATGTGTCGAAAGCTTTTCGCCGAACCGCCGCGTTTCAGAGAAACGCTGGACCGCGAGGTGAACAATGCCTCATGTATGACCGCGGCGCGGCCTATCGTTTCCCGTCATTTCGGCATTTGCGCAGATTCCGCATTTCTGGATTTCTCCCGATTCCGCGTTTTTTCAGTCGATACATATTTATTGTTCTATCCGCAGTTCACGATATCTTGAACCTTTTTTTGAGGGCGAAGATCCATGACAGCCGTGTCTCAGTCTGCAACGTACCATTTTGACGATGAAGAACTGAACGCTATTTCGCCCACGGGTATCTCATGTGATCGTCTCCGTCAAGCATTGAAGAAGTGTATTAAAGACTCACATTGTGTTCAGGTTCGTCCCATGAAACAAAGGTTTTTTTTAATTGGAGAGAGGTGATGATAGGGACGATAAACGTTGCGACAGCACGCAGAAACGTGAATGCGACACGCAGAAACGTGAATAGTGTTATAGCTTATGACCACTGCGGACGAGGGTGCGTGGAATAGAGCAGCCAGGGTGGTCTTTCTACCAATTGATACTGTCGGCTAAACCCTACACCTGGAAAAAATGCCGGACGAGTTTTATGGACGCAAGTCGTCCACTTCGTTGTGGAACCACGCGTCCCTTTAACTTCATTTGAATTAGGATACTGTGTTTTCCCAAGTGATCATTAGAAGGAGACTTGAGCTGCTGTTAGAATCATGAGCCCTGCAGCCAACAGTCACGACTTTTGGTGGGCTACAAATTACGAAAACATTGTAGTTCAGTGGTTCTGACAAGTTGTCCATCTTGGTAAGCATGTACCGCTACCTGTTAGAACACGAGAACTGCAATGTGATCGCGCCAAACGACCGCCTCCTAATTAAGATACTTCAATAATAGCGGTTTTTTTTTGCGAGATTATCGCTTTTGTGCGTAATCATGGTTAATATTTTTGAGGCCTGCTTCTGCTTTAAAAGGCTGATGAAAGTGGAGCTGAGTTACCGGTTTCGTGCTTTGCTAAAAGCTGCTTTTGGCTGTGTGGTTTCCGGAGCTCTGCATGGGTAAGAATGGCTCCAGCAGTCATGTATGTATACAAGCTGCTCTCGTTCACCTGCAGAAAGGGGTGGGACAACCCAAGTAAGAGCGTTTTATGTTGTGGACTGTACTATACTGCGGTTGATTCGAAGCACAAACATCTGTCAATGATCCTGAATGAGTTAATTCATTTCCACGCAGCAGTACTCCATTCCAGCTGCATTTGGAACATTGTGGTTGTATTTTTGCTGGATCCACCTTTTTTCGTTCACCATTGCGACTTGCGAAGAATTGCAGTATGAATCTACACTCTAGTTCGCTGTGGACAGTTGGGCGTGTCGGCCAGTATGAGTGTGTCATACTATCAAAGCCGTTCTCTGCCTTCTTGCTGTAGCTCGCCTGCGACAAAAAGTGGTAGAAAACAAGTAATGCTAATATGATGCAGTCATATCATTTGCACCCTTTAACAGCTGGTGGAGAACGGGTTCGACACCGCGCCATACTCTCCCGTCTGACAAGCCCAACTGTCCGCAGCGAACTACGTTATAGATCTAATAGAGATTGTTGTTGTTTTCCTGAACTCAACTGTTCTTCCCCTTGAAAGCCCTCTAAAACTGAGCCATAACAGTGTCTCCAAACACAAATGTCAAAAGGAAATTTTCGCCTGCCGGACATCCAGAAAACAGCTCTTATAACAGCGGTTCTGTACACAGAATACCAAAAATAGGTTGTAGATATCCTCTTGCGCTAAAATCCAACAATGAGCGGCAGAACTTCCAAAATTGGTGGCACCCAACGGGATGTAGCCCCTAGAAGATGATAAGCCACTAAGTGTAGGACCGGAATAATCCGAAAACCTACCGTATCTTTCTCGTGGCGACCCGCATGGATTCGTGGCACCCTGGCTCTTTGCCATTCGTAATACTAGGGACGTGGAGAGTTCTGTTCCTTCTGTCAAGGATGTAGTGCTTCCGCGTTTCCACTGCTATGCGAATTGAAATCCACTTTCATGTTCCCGCTCGCATAGAGTATACCGATTTCCTCACTCGAACGGCGACATGGAGTAGCCACAGAAGCGTGGCTTCCATTTTTTCATTTTTGTGCAGCCTGCTTGGAAGCCACTCTTTTAGACTTATGACCGACTCGAAGAGGAGCACGAAATCTGCTTCACAGTAAGAACGGAAATGCTCCAAAGGACATGATGGACTCATTTCAAAGCTGTAAAATATTTTGATAAAAGAGCGATTGAATCTCATGAGGTCTCAGCTTCTACAAGGCCTACGTGAAAAATGCCAATCTTGTCAGTGTTTTCCAGGTAAAGGGCATTCGACTAAAGGTTTTCCGTACCCGAATAAGTGCACGAGGCAATCTTTACATGATCACGGGAACCGAACCTCTCAAAAGGAACTGTTTTTCATGGGATCAGACAGCGGCTTTTCCCCATTTATCGTTGTGGTTTTGAGATTACACCATAAAACTTAATATCATTCTTCTTTAGGGGGCAATCATAAATCCTACATCAGAAACGCTCGGCCTGAAGGATATCAGCGAAACGCGGTGTCCCAAATCTACCTTCCATACACCTACTTCTATACTAGCTTCGATTTAAGTTCAATGATGTTCACCTTTTCGGGCACAAGGCAATTTTATTCGGAGATGAACGCCTGTAGATACGAGGCAAATGTTTCAGGGGAACTACCACGCGGTCTCTTAAATGTCCAATTTTCATGGATCGATCTGTCGTTTCTGTTAGCAGTAACTATGGCATAGTATCGTATAACTCTAGGATGTCAGTTGATTTGTTCCCACGGGATGTATTCAGTTGTGCAGTGATGTCCCACATTGACAACATCAGATTAAACTGATACGCAGAAATAAAGCCTCTTGCTAAGTTTGCAGACGCAAAATGGAGTTTTAGACAAAGTTTCGAAACGAAACTCCCCAGAAAGCGCGCATCACCAAGATGGCAAGATGCTACCTTGATGATTCGCGCCGCACGTGTCGCGCAAACGTTGTGAGAGTATCCGTATCCCGCCACGAAAAAACGGTAGGTTTTCAAATTATTCCGGTCCTACACTTAGTGGCTTATTAGAAGATGCAGTTGATGTGCTCAAGTTTCCGGTTGCACCTCAGGTTCCATGGGTTTCCTAATCGAAGCAGAAGCAGATTTCGAAAATATTAACTATGATTACGCACAAAAGCGATAATCTCGCAAAAACCCGCTCTTATTGAAGAATCCTAATTTGAATGAAGTTAAAGGGACAAGTGGTCCATCAACGAAATGGACGGCTTGTCCCCGTAAAACTCGTACGGCATTTTTACCGGGTGTAGGTGCGACAATCCAGTTGATGCCATCATGAGCCTGCAACAAGTGGTGGAAAAGGCTGCCTTGGCTGCACTTCCAAGACTGGAACACGCCTTCTCGTTTGCAGGAGCTATCAACCAAGATTATAAGTTCAGGTTGTTAGGCGGTGTACAGTACCCCCAAAATTGCGCGTGAAGTTAAAAATGTTGCGTTGCGAACACAATCGGGCGCACCGTAATCGGTTTAGTTACCCAAGTTTGAGGTGCGTTTAATAGCTCCTGTTGTACGGCATTTGCATGACCGGCTGATGTCGTTTCATCTTTGACACCGAGCGCCAGCTCAGGATCGTTGGTTGGGGAATCACCAACAGGGGGGGGGGGTCGTAATTGGCCGCCAGGAGAGGGGGAGGGGCCGTAGTGAGTGCAGCAGCCAGTAACGAGCAGCGCAAATTGTCAATGTGCTGACTAGGGAAGGTCGTGAGGTCGAAGTGGCCATGGCCATTTGTGATGAGATGTGGATCACTAGACGTGGTTTTGGACGCTGATCTTGAATCTGCCTTCAAAATTTGCAAAGCGTTCTTTGAACGGAGTTATGGGCCCC